ACTAATGAAAGAGGATTAGAAACCCCAAAAAACAAAAAAACTAAATATATTTTTCACGACTGAACTTTCTCTTCATTCTCCAGTGGATATCGTATTTAAAGGCCAACAAGGGTCACCGTACGAAAATCTCAAGTCAGAAAGAAAAGTGACCTGACACCAATGTCAGCTCATGACTCGTGTTTTGGGGTTTGTTTGTTTTTTTTTTTAAACTTTTGGCAAGGGGAACACCTGCATACCTGTGGTTTTTTAGGAACACTGAATTTGGCTGTGATTTACACACAGTAAGAGGTGGTAACCAATTGTTAGAGGTCTTTCTGGCTGACCCTGAAACATCTGTGTTCAGGGTCTGTTGCTTGTTACACAACAGATAAGACAGCAGTTAAAAGTATTTTCCTTAAATGGCAGCAAGAAATAATATGATTTTTAATGTCATTTTCAGTGAAGCTGACACATGTTAACATTATTTTAAAAAATAGAGAAAAAGTCTTTATGAAAAGATCTACATACACACATATACTGAAGCGACTACATCATGCTGTCTGCTGTCTTGTCAAAAATAATTTTTCAAAGATTAATAATTGCTGGTAAATCTTTATGCCTGAAGGTGAATTTCCCCGTTCTTTGACGCTAACACTTTTTCTGATGCTAATGATATAAATCTCTCAGCCAGGACTGCCACAGTGAGTTTCCAGGCTTAAAGCACAGCTGTGTGTAACATATGATTTTTGTTGTTTTGTATAGGGAATAGTGTACACTTATTTTCCAGTTTAAAATGATGGACTGATGTGATTGGACTATTTTTAGCCACTATCCTCAAACTCAGTTTAAGGATAAAAAAAAACAACTAAATATAAATCTGTAATTTATTTTAAAAAGGGTTCAAAGAGTTTTTTAATTAGCACTTTTTATAGGAAATTGTTATTAATAATATTTTTGTTTATTTTTTATATCTGTGGTTGTGCTTTCCCCGCTTTCTCCCCATTAATTCGCTTTTTTCAAACAGCTTATTTTTCCATAAGAGTTTTTTACCATTTCAACCAAGATTAAATTAAAGATTTCCAAAATTTGTGAAATTATTTCAATATAGTGGTTTACTGTGACAATGTGTTTAATTCAGCTTGCAAATGTGGATCTTAAAAAACATAGTTTATGTTTTAATTTGATGGCAGCTTTTCTTTTCTTTTCTTTTGAATTTTGATATTTACACACAATTTTTACATTGAGGTAAATTTCCACTTTAAGAAAGGACAGTCGCTATATCCACTTATAGGGAAGGCGTAAATTAAAATTCAAGCACGTATGTAGCACTAAAATGCCCTCAAAATGTTTGTTTTAAAAAAAAAAATCAATAGTGAACAGCACACCATGCAGCTAGGTGCAGTTTATAATTCTGCAACATCCTCAGTTGCTCATGGAAATGGACCAAGCATCGTGAGCTTACAAAGATGTCGACATGGCGACTTTGCAGCCTTTTATTTGAATATTGGGGCAAATTGGAGTAGCCTGGTATCTTGCGTGTCTGTCAGCGGCCTCCCATGTGGCTCTGATGGGGCTGTTAGGGACTGGCAAGGCCAAAACAGGGCAGAGAGTGAGGGGGAGAGCAGGATTTACACTTAAGGCCAGAGCTGGGATCCGTCAGTGTGGGCGGATCGGGTCATCTTCAGCATGACCTGCCACCTCTGATGGAGCTCTGAAAAGTGCAATGTGGCCCTGCTGCTGAGCAGCCATCTCTCACTGTCACAAGCCTGCGTCATCTGAAGAGAGAGCTTTTACTTTAATTTGGTAATGATCCTTTATTTTTTGGTGTGTGATTGTGTAACTTGTAAATCATGAGCTTTTGTGCAATGTTGTGCAAGAAGTAAAACATGAGATCGCGATGATATCTCTAAGCTACAGCAAATGAAAACAAATATCTGTGCAAAAACCATATACAAGCAATGCCTTTTAATTAAATCCACACAGTAGCAGCCGTCGCTTCAGAAAACACAGATGTAGTTTTTCACAATTGTATGATCTGCCAAAAAGTCCAGCCTCGCCCTTTGTTGAGCATCACCAGAGGAAGAAACACGGATAATAAAGGTCTCTTTATGATGAGGCTCCTGCGTGCAGAGCCACAAAAAAAAACTTAAGAAAAAATATCTATCAAGAGGTGGGAATTACTTTGCCCTGTGCTGGGGTGGGAAAATGAAGCAGGCATTTCTGAGCTCGCTGGCAACATAACCTTCAGAAACATCCTATTTTTCATTAGAGTTGTGTCAGACAGCTATGCCTTTAATAACATTCATCCCCGTACCAAGGAGAGGATAACTCAAGCTTTAGGCACATAATGAATGGGAGAATGGGCCCTGGCGCTGTTAAAGAACAGGAGGGCTTGCCAAACAGGCAGAGCTGCACTGCTGCACTCGTGGCAAGCCTTTCACAGCACGGCATCCTCCTGTATTAACGCCATGCAAATGAACAGTCAGATGCTTCCTGAGGTGGCTCTCTAATGTGGCCCTGTTAATTACTGTCATTAGAGCCGAGGTTAGAAGAAAGGACTAACAAGCCAACTTCCTCATGATCTGTGCATTTGAAAGTCATCTTCGGAGATAAAAATACGTCACAACCCTCTAGTAAGAAAATTGCAAATTGCTAAATTTGCTGACAGAGTGCGAAAAATTTCTGCTGACGCCGAGCAGCCTGCCGGTGATGGATGCATTCTTGACAGAGTCTTGGTGTTTAGACTTAAGAAATAATGAGTATCAATGTCCCAGCCGCGGAATATGCAAAGATGAAAGAGCGCTGTGTGGGTTTAATTAAGGGAAACAGAGGCAGGGTCTGCTTTCAAACAGAGTGACCCAACATGATCAGATTCTTATTGCTGTCATTTTGTGCTGAAATATGGCCAGGAAGGTACAGGCAGCGCTTTAAAAACTCCAACGTAATGTCATAGCAAGTCAGTCCAATACTATTAATGTAGTGCAAATGAAGCCCAGGGATATTTCAGTGCAGCACAACTTGGTTTCAGAAACACAGGTTAATGTGCTCAACATAACATCTGAATAAGGCGAGCGCCAAGCTCTCTGAATAAGGGCGGTTTTGTTTTAAGAACCGTTGAATTGGTTTTCACTGCATCATTACAACCGCAGGGGGTGTGGGCACTCATTGTTTCCACAGTCAAGTAAAGTATTTTGTTTTACAAATGCCTTCCAGCAATTCACACTCCCTACATCGGGTGGGAGGGAAAAAAATGTTTCTCATACTTCAGAGAGCAAACCAAAATATCCTCTATTATGTCTGTGATGCATCAAATCCCTGGTGTGGCCTTGAATTTAGTTTCTCCCCCCAAAACTGGAGGGTGACACGGTCAATATATTCAACACTCAAGGCCACTTCCAGGCTAATATAGAGGACTTTACTCTTCTCCTTCTTTGTTTTACTTTCTCGCTCTCATTCGCTCTTCTGTTTTTCAAACGTCTGCGCTGTTGAGGACAAATCAAAGGCTCTATTTTACTAATGTAACACTGAGCAGACTGTGAGGTGGATGTGGGGATAATGAGGGACTGCGGAGATGTGAAACAGGCAGGCTGAAATGGATAATTAGGACAGAAAGTTTCTGCAATGACACTCTACAGGATATAGGATCATTAAGTTCTATATAAAATCACTGTACGGTGTATCTATATAAAATTGCTCGTCATAGTTATCCTTTTTATTACAACTTTTCATTTCATTGCAACCAGGCTCTGTTTAAGGTGCAGCCCTTACCTCTGTTTTAGAAAAATGTCAGAATGTAGGCACTTTAACTATCTTTATAACTACCTGTGAATATATTTAGCATAATTTCTGCTTTGACCTCCTGGACAAATACAAGGCTGCTTTTCATCCTTTTTTTTTTTTGGCACACCTGCCCGGTCTTAGTTATTTTGCAAAGCCATTAGTCTTGTTTTGAAATGTAAGTACAGGATGAAAGTTTTGCAGCGCTTGAATTTCAGGACATGCGGATGAAAAGGACATCCTCGCAGGTCCTGCAGTGCTCGTAATATGATATGAGGGTTTGGTGCAGGCAAACTGGATAATAAGCTGCAATAGCTTGTTAAAAGGTGTTTGAGGGAGATATCATATGTTGCTCTATTATGATTAGATTTCTCCTTGACAATATGAAAAGATCAAATCAATATCTACTGAAATTTTGATGATCCACAAGTCACTCCCACCTCCCCATTCCCCCCCAGTCCCTCCTTCCCCAGGCTCTATTGAGAGAACATGATCTGACATCACCACAGTAGCATCAGGCTTTTCTCTGCCACTGTGAAAATATGTAACTTCGATTAGCGCGACGCTTAACAAAATGACCCCCGTTTTGGGTTTGCTCCCAAATCTTGCAGTCTGGGTACTGATGACAGGACCAATTGTGTTCCTCTTTAAAGCAATTCAATTAGGAGTCATTAGTCCTCTGAGTGATTACCAGTGGCCTATCGATAGCAGGAAGGACACACTAATTAAAGGGCATTTAAATGTTTCTCGGTGTAGAGTAATGGGGAGAAACATAGCATTTAAAATGCAGTTTGTAGGAAAATATCCTTGCGCAGCAAATGACCGACATAACATGTTCACTTTGCTCTCTGCAAATTCCCTTTATAGACACATATATGGTAATGGATCCCGTGGGAATACTAAAATGTGGTAATACAGCAGTCACCAAGAAGCTACTAGCCCTGCTGAAAAGCAGGTAAACATTCAGATGTGTGCTCATCCACTTTGGAAAAAAATAAAAATGACAGATAAATAGCAAACTGATGTAAAATGATGGCAGGTATTTATAGTGCATATGCCAAACTGAATATTCCTCTGCAAGGGAGGGGTGGATTATCTTTCATTTTTAATTGACTGTCAGTGCTGTGCATCTTTGAATTCATTGTATCAAAGATGGATAGGTACTTTCACTGCCTATCATGAAGTTAATTCCATTCTTAGATGAATTGGAGTGATAACGCTGAAGAAAGGTGACTTACTCGAAATCAGCTTCCCTTTTTCATAATACGCTGCTTTTATTCTTGTGCTTTTACAGGATGTGCTCTGAAAATCATCTGAAATTAAAACAGAGACAATCTGTGTATTAACAAGACGAATACAGAAATGTCTGCCTTTTAAATGCACTCTCAAAACTAGCTCATTGTACTCTGAGTGTCATTAAACAAATTAAGTGCTTCAGCATTGGCACAGGTCGCAGAATCATGCTTAATATACACATGCATTTCCATAGACTCATCAACTACAAAATAAGGACACTGCAGCTCCACAGTGTTGAGAGGACTGCTTTGTGTTAACATAGCGAGAAAGATATTGATTAAAGTATGATAAGAAAAAGCTCCAGTCCCAGGGCAGAGTCTCCACAGTTATGATTAAATAGGGTGCACAGAGATAGGACCTATATCTCACCGACAAGCCAACCTTGTGCATCTATATACAGCATATGAGCTAATCCTAAAAATAGCTGTTTTCGCATTAAAGAAAATAGCGTCTATTATAGCACCTTACTTTGGGTTCAACTTTGGGTCGTAACTTGTCTGTGGAATAAGACAACAACTGAAATGATGAAATCCAAACCCTTGAAAAGGTTTCTAAAAAGTTAATATACTAACATACTACTCTGACATTTAAAATAACTGTTAATAAACTAGTGTTGTGTTACAGATTGTGAGCATCTGCATAATCATTAGCAACAGAGAGAAGAATTTCCAGGCATATTAAAGACTGCAGCAAAAGCATCACTCTGCTGTTCGGTTTCTGAAATGACCTCAATTCACAAAAATGTTTATGTTACCAAACTTTTCATTTAGTAGAGCTTGTATATGATCATTTATCTCAGACTGACATCTAATATTATATTACATATTTTGGAATGATATTTTCAGAGACCTATAAATGCCATCAGTACGATCTTCCTAAACGTTTGCATACATGCATATTTGTTGTGCTGAAATGGTTGAGGCTCAGCTTCATAATCAAAATATAAGTATGTTCTACTATTATGTACAACACACCAATATACATCTAACACTGGTGTATAAAATCTTAAATTGAAGCAAAGAGTTTTAATAAATAAATATGAAAGTTTGGTTATTGTGATCTGATCAAGCCAACAAAGGTTGTGTCACCGCCTAAGAATAAACTCTTATAAGCTACTGCATGAGAACTGATACTGTATGTAAAACTCACACCAGTATGGTCCATCAAGTATCATCATACTGAATCTCCTGCAAAATCTTTTGCAGAGGATTAAAATATATTAAAATGCACCTGTAATTTGCACAACCTAATGACAGCAGGTGTGCTAAAAGAAACCGTTTGAAGTAAAAATGAAAAATAGCAACTAGCAACTCATGCTACCTGAAATACATTGTTCAATCGTGGCAGGTTTGGGCTTTATATAGTGATGTGTATACTTTGCTACACAAGCCCTGATCTGTCATGCTGCTCAGACCCTTTTATATTCTTCCCTGTTTTGGTGGGGATTACAGGAAAAACGGGGAAGAATTTAAGTGCTTTACTATGGATTTGGTCGACACTTTACATAATATCTCGAATCTGCAACCTGAATACAGCAAACAGTCTTCAACTACCAATGAGCAATGGAGAGAACAAGGTATAGTTTCCAGATTTCCTTTGTAATAACATAAAGCCTTGTTGTTATTTTGTGTAAAACATATTACTTATATCACTATAACATGAAAAAATGCATCCTAACTGCATTCCCTGGATTTAGCTACACAGCTGAAATAACTGTGAAAAATGTCCCCTTGGTCTGACTTTTATTCCTCACCTTATTCCCAATGTCATTCATTTGCCACTGAAGGTAACAAGCCTTTTCCACTCGGTGCTCTGTAACGGCAGACCTTTAATAGCCATTTCCCGGTGTGGCGAGGGGAGAGAGGGGGAACATGTTTATTTGTGTGTCTGCACATGCTTCTCCAGCGATTCTCTCTGCTCCACTCACCCAGCTGCTGGCTGGAGGAGTGATTCATGGGCCTGACAGATGCCTGGTGCAGCTGGATCTGTCCTTGATCATCCCAAAAGCCTGGACAGCACTGTCATTCACCATTGCCCAAATTATCTCTGTATTGACTGCAGAACCCTCTGTGACAGCACTGTAATGGCTAATTACCCAGGATGCTTTGGGTACTTTTAAACCCCAGAGTGTTCTCTTGCTGTCTTGCCATGCTGCTGCTAGCGTATCCTGTCGTTGTGAGGGCCACTGTTTTCTCTAACCCCACCTGAGCACCACAGCCCGAGGATCCCAATGCAAAATGCCAAGAGAAACGAAGAAATAATATCCTCTTTTCCCTAATATATGATATCAAAGTAACAGCAGTGTCAGTGAGAGACACGCACGCAGAGTTTCACAGAGGGAACAGAACATAAAGTACTGTTTATGGTTTGTCTATTTCTCTATCCTTCTCTGCATGTCAGGGGAATTGCATTGTGAAACACACACAGTTAATTATCAAAATCTGTCTCAAGATGTTAGAAAAATTGCCTAGCTCTTCCTCAGCATGTAAATACCGAAAAAGATAAACATGAATAATTGCCAGAAGTTTTCATTACCAAGAAGTCGGCATACTAATCTACAATTCTAAACCCGCAATGTTACTTCAGACTTTGACTTGCACTTCAGGAGGAAGCTGACAGAGAGAAGTGAAAGGAAATGAACGGAGAGACAGAAAGAGAGAAGGAGAAGGTGAGGGAATAGAGGGTACAAAATCCCATCCTGACTGTTAGAGAAGATGATGAGGTCCCCTGAGAATGGACAGAGTAGAGAGGGAGCAGCTTTTCCTCACAAAGATTCTAGTAATTTGCCACATCCTGTCCACACACCAGGCATGGAAGCCACTCTGTCCTTAATTACCAGGATAACAAACCCATCCCCTCCCTGCTCCTCATTGTCCTGTTCTCCTCACAGTACCCCCACTCCTTGGGCAACGCCATCACTTCCCAGGCTTCCTACGCTCTTCCTTCCAATCAGTATAAATGAATGGCCTTTGCTGCTGTTTGCCATGAGTGGATGGATGGACACCAAATAAAGTGACAAAAGCTGAAGGAACGACTGTCTGAGTTAGCAGCTCTGTGCTTGACTGGCAGAGACATTATAGTCACAGAAAGGCCTCACCGGGATAAAGGAGCAGTTTACAGGTAAATCATCCTAATAAACTGTCAATAATACTAAATCATTCCTTACATCATCACAGCAATATTTTTGCAACACTAAATCTATGCTCTCTTGCTTCAAGTGTCCAGAAATTATATTTAATAAACATTCAAATCTACACTGTATGACACTGCAAACAGCGCAGCTTGTAAGGACATCACCGTCAGGAAACGACCAGCACATAGAGGCCGTGGCCTCTCCGTCTAGCCGTCGTCTGTCACCTCCAAGATGGCGCCGTGTCTGCTTCGGCTTTATTTGCATTGGCATTTTGCATACGTATGCGTTGCTGCATGAATCCTGCACTGTAAAAAAAAATCGTGATATAAAAGTATTTTACTGTCTATTTCACAGTTTTGTACTCTTCTTCTAGAATATCATTAAATTCACATATATAGACTGTGATTTTACATTTCAAATGTAAATTAACGTAAAATCACTGTAAATGTAATAAAACATAATTTTCATGTTTTTTAAATGTATCTGTCTGTACATATGCTTATTTAGATTGTTAAAATACATTCACAAATGCATCATAATTTCACAAATATTTGTCCGGTATTTGAAAGATTGAACTTGAACTATTATTGTTATTCAGGGCAATCGTGGCTCAAGAGTTGGCAGTTCGCCTTGTAATCAGAAGGTTGCCGGTTCGAGCCCCGGCTCGGACACTCTCGGTCGTTGTGTCCTTGGGCAAGACACTTCACCTACCACCTACTGGTGACGGCCAGAGGGGAATTATAACATGGATTTGTAAAGCGCTTTGAGGGTCTCATAAAGCGCTATATGAATGCAATCCATTATTATTTAAGTTAACTGTGTATTTCTGTACATTTAAGTATTATTATTCATATTGCTGCATTCATTGACCTTTTTTATAGGTAATTTCATTGTTTAATCACATTAAATTGTTCCTAATTTAATGTTTAAAAGCACTTGAAAAAGGCAAAATCCCATGTAAGATTAGGGCAACAAACTGCATTGTCATTACTGAAAATAACCGTATTGTCATGGGAAAGTTATTTTCTGGTATTTTCTGGTATTATTTTGTTGCCCCAGCTGCTGGAATATTACTGTTTGTTTAGGATTTTTTTTTACGGTGTGACTATGCAGCATCAAAACAAAGGGGGAGAACCAGGCGTGACACTACAGTCCTGCCTTGCTACATACAGATACATTCAGCTCAGAGGGAATGACAAGGCTGTATTAGTGCAGTGTTTGTACGCCTTTTCAGTGAACAGGCAGTGGGAGGGTCTGATATTCCTAGGGGTGAAGGGGTTAGAGGGGTGTGTGTGTCTGTGTTACCAGTCACCTGCTGCTAAATCCTATTAGCAAGGCCTGGGGGTTAAACCAACCATCACCATTAAAGGCCTGTCAGGGGAAAGCCCACAAATAATAGGGCTGATCGCTACAACTGACAAATAATTAGGTGCTTTGATAGAGGATAATCAATTAGAGATAATAGGAACAGGCTTGACATTCTGAGATGTACCAGAAAGAGGGAAATAGTAAGAAAGACAGCAAAAAAATGTTGATGAGAAATTAGATTTAAGGTTCTTATTAAAGACAATAAACCTTATTTTTAAAGAAGTACAGATCGAAATCTAAGAAAGAGTATTACATGGTCAATCAGTCAGCAATTATTTTCTAGACTAATTATTAATTTGATGTGTTCTTGAAAACAATAAAAAATGGTCTGTAGCAGTATCCCGAAGCCCAAGGCACACTCATGTAACTGCCATGTTTGAACAGTCCCAGATATTACATTTAGTGACCCATTAGACTGAGAAAAGAAGCAAATCCTCAAAAACGAAAAGCTGCTGACATTTTTTACTTTGAAAGTTACTTACTGATTATCATAATAGTAGCAGATAATTTTTCTGT